CTGTGAGTGTCGCGGGACACTCTCCAGTATAGCTCAATGGATCGCTGAGGTGCGCAAACCGTCACACCACGGTAAGGTCCAGTCTCTTCGTGACGGGGTCCAGTCTCTTCACCTCTATACTTCTGGTTTTCACTTCGCTCTGTAGTCAGCGTTTCAACCGTATCCTCCTGGAAGCATACCATGCATACCTCACTGGCCAACGTAATTATAGTAGATTTCAAACCCCTCTCATTCCACCTCAGTTCTGACAATATCTATCAAATCTATGTTTTTTTCAATGCGATTGTTCCATCACCATTATTTGTCCACACTTCTTTCTTAATTAGTGTTCTGTCCCGGTTATTTGGACGTCTTTGTCAGTACACCTACCCAACTGACTTGTCGACCGGAGAAGAGAGGAAAGAGGAGCAACCTAGTATTATCTGCTATTTTCTCGACCATCTACTGTGTCGCCTGCATCTAACGGAACGGCTAGCTATGCAACGTTCCATCGCCGGGCTTATTCTTTCTACTTGGGCCTTACTACCCTGCCGTGATGACCAATATAAATCTGACTACAAGTTTACGTGGGGCAAGCAAGTAAGGTACGAGGAGAGGCCAGCAACGCAGGTCAAAGAATTACCAGAATACGCATTGTCCGCTGTGCTTCAACGCGAGTTGGAAATGCTAGTACCGAAATTGCGCGCGAAAATGGAATCCTGCCTGACGGAAGTCGTGTACTACGAGGAAATTCTCGGTAACTGCTCTTTTGTACGAAGTTGTTGAACCAAAATATCTGGTCTGAAATGAACTCTCTCACCGGTTTTAGATCCTAATTGAATAGTGACAACCCCCGTCAGGGGGGTTATCACATCAAGGAAAATCTAGGCGTTTGTTCATTTCTCGTTTAGTATGTTGTCGCAGCTTTTCAGATGGAATTATTCTTGGCTAGTCTTGTAGCTGAATCATGATTTTCTACACCCCAGACATGCACACTATCGTATAGTATTTATCTCGCCTCCCCACCGAATTTTTCCCCAAACAGGATCATTCAAACTCATGCAAACAGATTGCTTGGAACTTGTGCGAAACTTGGTGGAAGCTGGCCATTCAAAAGAACCCCTTCTAGTTTCCAAGTATGTTTTGGAGAAGTGCAACCTTATTATCGGCTATATAGTTTCAGGTTCGCTATTATATATGGTAATGAACGCGCGTTATGTTAACGGAAGAAAACTTCTCAGGATGTCTTTTATTAACCTTATCCCTTGGATATCCAAACTCCAGTAATGCAGTTACCCCGGAGACGTTGAAGAATTGTTGCTTGACGGGACATGGTCACTTAACTAGGGAACTTCTAAACTGAAGCGTGTTTGTGATTCTACTCAGCCTCTTCAACACGTCCTAACGTGTGCGAAGTTCAACGAAATACCGTCTCTGAAGCGAACCCCATTGGACGTAAAAAATCTTGTGCTGTTTCAACTATTCAAGCTGAACCTGTTTATTCCAACAAAACTTATTCGCACCTCACAGATCGTTGTTAAAAAGGCGCGCTATTTGGAGATCATATTCGGTATTGCCACAGTCGATAGTTGCTTAGGCATAGGGTAATGGGGCGGTTTTGGGGTTCAACCTAATATTTTATCGTCCAGAAGATGGAGATATCGGGGACAGGTGTCTTGCTGGGAGTAGCATCAGTCATTTGTTCTTTATTCATTTAATTCCACCCCTTCAACTTTAGTCGCCTTTCCAGCATTTTTACAATTAGATAATCACTTATTTTGGATAATTGGAATAATTGTCGTGCTCATAGATGCCTTTTATTTACGACTGACACTATCGGCCTTACACTGCTGGGTTAACGGAGGTTAAGTGGACCCCACGATCCTACATCCCGAAAACTCGAACAGCCTACCTTCAACAGACGTCCTTATAATTTTTAGGCATTTCGGCTCAGCAACAACCAGGTTACTACTGGACGCTCATTTTCGATGGCGGGCTTTCTGGCATTGACTTGGTTGCATATCTCGAAGACCCTTTTACTAATTTCTTGAACTATCTTGGCTTTTTCTTCTGAAATCACCTTTGTTTCTAGCAATGCGACACCGCGAAGATTAGTGTTGTATGCCACCAGATGTGCACCTTATGCGGAACTTCTAAGCGCCTTTCTACGCAATATGCTGAACGATGAGGGTCTCTATATTGTGATGATCACTTGAAGATACGGACTAAATCGGGTCCTTGCTACGGTCGGATTGTCCGTAGTCAAGGAATGACCAAAAGATGTGGTACCGTTAGGATATAACAATTTCAAACCAGAGAACCGGACAAGAATAAACTGTTTGTGGGTTCAAGCGGGTGTGTTAAAAAGGTTCATTGTCAGTAGATGTCACGCAGAATAACTGACAAGTTAAACTGCAATCCGACAGCCCATGATTTATTGGTTTTACCCACGGAATTTAGAAGCACATGGCTCATTTAGTCCACTATAGTGAGATGTGCTTCACTGCCCCAGGATTTCGCGTGTGGCGAATAGGATGTTCTTTCTACCGAGGTAATTTATAATACTTTTTTTTTCTTAACTTTCATAAGCGGTGTTCGCACCATTGCACAGTGTACGGCATTATTGGAACGGGCTACACAGCTGGCTTCTGTTCGGCAAAATTCAATCGACTCACCAGATCCACTTACTGTCTCACTGGATCGTGCTCGTGCGACAGTAGATCGATGTTTATCCTTGCAACTCCACTGGGGCTCCTAGTAAGTTGAAAGACGCTTTCACACTCCTCACCGTATTCCAGTCCGTTGTCATCGTTCTCATTAAGGACATCGTCACTTTTTGGGCCAACATATTTGGTTTCGTGACCCGTTGATTATTTGTCATTTTTGAACGGATAGTTACCAGCATCTTCCTTGACTGCGTGATTGGTGCCGTCCAGGAGGAAGTTTTCACCTTTAATGCAAATTTACTGGGTATCTTATCTATTCATTTCCCAGTACGACTAGGGCTCATCGTCAGTTTTTCATAGAAATTACTAGTGCTGCATGGGTTGAGTGTGTAGGCACTTTCAGTCCTGAAAATTGCAGTCATTTGTACCTCCAAATATATTCATACATCCACCTCCTAGAAGCTGGTTTTACTCAGTTGGATACATCTTATTTCGCACGTTTCTGTGGGTTATGAAGCTACACAGGTTTATGTAGAAGAAAACATCATATCACTATTTTGCATGCTTTCGGTGGTTTATGTTCGATTTACAAGTGCTTATTTGTTGCTGTATTATAGGTAGTTCTTTCGCGCCGTTGTTCCTTCATCACGAAGAGACTGAACCGTAACGTGGTTTGATGGTGTGTGTACTTCCGCGACCTATTGAGCTATACTGGAGGGTATTCGTAGGACACCCGCAGAGTTACATACCGGATTGGTCGATAGTTAGGCCAACACAGCGGCCTTGTTCTTCAGGTTGGGGGTTGAAACATTTGACGACTTGTTCTGTACAGTTTGAAATGCACTTGCATTTCCCGCCAAACGCCACTGCCTTGAGGTCAAGCTTTTTGAGTTAAAGACTAGGATTGAGGGCCCTAATCATCCTGTCTAGGTCTGGGAGCCTTGGCAGTATCCGAGCCCACTTACATCCATGAATTGCACACACTCAAACTCATGCCACATCGGCCGCCCCGTGGTGCCATCAGTTGGGTAGCCTGACTTGCTGCATACAGTAGCGCAGATAAGCGAAAACAGACTACTGATGACGCCTCCCTTCTTTCTCTTTCACATACTTTTTATTCCCCCCTCCTCTCTTCACCTTATTACTAACTCTATCCTCGTAGGCCCGTCAGTTGGTGTACAATTGGACTGATGACACAAATGTGTGCTGCGTATCAGAAACAAGAATTCAAGATGCAAGCATAGTGGCTGATCTAACCACCCCATCACTCCCCACTCGCTTTCGGCTGCCCACCTCTGGTGTCACAGAGACTGCTGCGGAAGGATCTGCAGGGTTTGGTATTGTCACGGGGCAGAAGGATCCTTGTTTGTGCAATAAGGAAGCTTGTTAAAGGATATGTTGAGTATCTAAATCTGAGGTCGTTTGGTGCTATGTTGCGTACACGAGTCGTTTGCCGAAGAGAGTGCTGTTTTTGGTGTCCAGTTCAGAGTAATGGAAGCAGAGAGGTGGCCAACCCTTGACCTGATAGAGGGGTGTGAAAGTGATTACGAAAAGTTTGGTTGCTAACCGTGTGACTCGCCTTCCATGAGGGGGCCACGTGATCCCCAATGCGCGTGTTTGAAGCCACTGGCTGCTAATCGATGTCAGTGACGTTCTTGTTGTCAGTCTCTGTCCAGGTTACTGAATGGGTAGCTGGGCTGTAGGCACCTTGGACTGTGGTAGGCTAACACCAATTCCGTCCCCCGTTCGCGTTTCTTCTGTTTTTATGGTACAAGGCTTTCAAATAAATCGTTTTTGTAAGATACCGAAGTATCAGTGCGGAACACTGATGTCATGTTGTCGATAGTGGTGATGATGATGGTTCCTCCACTGCTTAATTTGGGAAGCTAGTATATCGGACCATTATCACAGATTACTTTTTCTCGGGACGCTCAGGGACTTGCAAGGGTCGTATGATGCGGGGCAGTGAGACACAGTCGATCATAGGTAGGCATTTTGAGTACTTGGAGTGATCCTCGAAACTGCTACCAAAGTCGTTCACGTGGCTGTTCGCTGGGTTTTGGAAGATGACTGGTGTGAAATCCTCGTTTAATTTGATTCTAATAGCCTTTTTCAGCTTCGATAGAATTTCACTGCCGATCTACTAATCGGCTGACAAACCAAGGACTAGTATGGCAGCTACGAATCACTAGTTTGCTCAACCGCATTCGAGCAGCTCGAACTGTCTGTCGTTTCCAACCTGTTGTGCTGCATCGCAAGCACGAACGCTCATTTGGTTTTTATCCAATCTCAATGGCATTTTCCGTTTACTTTTGCTGACGCTCGCCTATCTTGAGCTGGGACCTACCTTTCCTCATTTCACTTGCCATTTAAGCGTGGAATTCGGGATTGCTGCGGCGTTTGTGAACTTCGAATGGCTTCTTCCCGGCAGGCTCACCTTACTCATCCGACCGCTTATGGACACAATACGCTGTGTTCGTCCGGTCTCAGGGATATCGGATTCCACGTCAGGACGCGCCGTCAACTCACCTCCTCAACGATTCTCTCCAACTGGTAGCCATGTGGCTTTTCAACGTTTAGCCTCCGCGTGCCTAACAAAGTTATTGTTGCTTGAGTGGAAAGCCAATTGTAGCAAGGTAAATCAAGGCGATAAAGCACAGCGAGTACCCAACCCTTCAAGGGCCGCAACCAAGGTAGTGAAGAATCTGGCGTCATCGCTGCTAGAAGCTGATTCTCGTAAGTGGAAATTCTGGTGTTGTGTATACTCTAGGTTTGTTTTGGATGTGCAAGTATCTTCGGTCAACGCACTATACCCTCACAACTTCGTATGTTGTGACCAATAAGCTGATTTTGGTGGGTTTGACGTCGTATCGTCTGCTCTGGCTTTACTGAGCATTAAACTTCTTACTCATTATTTTGTGGCATTGAGATCTTGCTGTTGCCTAGCACGAGCGCTCTGTTCCTTACCCGAAACCTTCTAGTGCTTGCCTTTGGCCGTATTTGGTGGCTCAGACTGCACGATATTTAAAGCAGTCGTTTATGTTTAATTGCTATTCGGCATTCATTCAGAACTCTCTGCGATGAAAATCAATACTGACTTGGTGCCAAACCAATTGGAGACCACTGCGTGTGACCTGCAATCTTCGGACTGTCAGACGAATGTCCTCTTGGATATGCGAAGATCCAGCGCAGATACAATGGTACGTTTGAAAATTTTGAAATGTCTGTTTCGGGTAGTTATTCAATGCCGCTTCGTTTTGACCACTGAAACTCTCTTAACCTACACTTTATTCTGCTTTCAATTCAGCCTGGACAATCTCCATCAGAACTTTCTAGTCAACTTTCATCGTTGGAGTATCGGCAGCGTGGCACTAGCATCGCGCTTACTTGCCTATGTCGTACATTTCTTCGAAGCCTTGAGAACCCCACCGATTCACTGTATGAATTACAGCTTGGACTCCCTGTTCTGTGGAACACACTGTGGGCTGAACCTCTTCAGCGAATCGAACATTTAGTGGACCGATCCGTAGACGAGTGCACCTTAAAACAACTAATCACAGGTACGTCACTACTTTTCATTTGCACCAGTATCCGCTTAACTCCTTGTTGGTCGTAGCTGGATATCTTCCCTGTTTCCAATTACCTTTTAGCGAAACTTTGGGAATCACTGAAGCAACCAATCACCCAAACAGACGAGGAAGTTATTTGTACGGGACTTATAAGCTTGTGCGTTTGCGTTCCGGCCTTACTCCCCTGTTTGGCGGAATCAGCTCAACTTTCCTTCGAGATGTTAGTCTACTTTGGAGCGATGACTTCATGTCTTCCCCGTTCCAAAATCCAGATGCTCGGGGCCAGACTGCTGGCTGCACTTGCTCTCCTTCGTACTGTTCCTCTATTCAATCTTCTAATTCCCGTCGTGCTCCCCTTACTTGAACCTGAGGTGGGAGAAAATGGCGTCCGATTGACCGATGTTTGCAAAACTACATTAAATTCACTAACCGGTACGGTGGGTAATTAGTAATTATAAGCATGATGGTCTTACCCAAGTGTGGTTCCCTCTAACGAAAAAAATTATCGCTTTCTTTCTTACTAGTTATCATCGAGCACCTTACGAACGTGACTCCTCATTCCTCGGTTTCGCTGCTATCGGTCGATAATACCGACCCACTGGCTAGTGCAGAGCGCAATTCCATATCAGACGACCGATCTTCTTTTGAACCTACTCCCTCAAACGGATGTTCAAGCTCTCATCTTCCCGAGGCCCTGCGGTCTTTCTTACCGTACATGGTATTGTTCGTCCCTCCTGTACTCCGGCTGTTAGCTGATCAGGATGAGCGCATTCGCGAATCCGCTGGGCACCTTTTCACCGTCCTGCTAAATCTTTTTCCACTAGAGGTAGGTTGTATCCTCACTTTATTGTCGAACGTATGTTTCAGCCACGCTGTTCTTTACCTTGGATGTTTTAATTTCCCCCCCCATTCAAAGACTAATCAAATTCCGAGTTTCACGCGACGACCCAGGGACTCTTAGTCCATTCGTAAGCATTGCCCGTGAGCTGTTACTAACATGAAATAATGCCTCCCCTCTTTGGCGTGGACTAATCGGAATGATTTTTCAGTACACGAGGAATATTGTCCAAATGAGAATGATTCAAAGACAGTTTATACAAGCCTTTCAACTGCCTATTATTATTTGTTCTCGAAGACAGAACCAACGTGGTGCTCGTGTGAGGTTGGAGTTATTGGTTTATACCCGAGAAAGCAAGATTTCTTCGCAATAAGATGGTTTGGGCTTGCGTTTCATCACTGGACTTGGGATCTTTCCGGGCAGAATAATCCACTTTACATTTGCCTATGTTATTCAAGAGTAAACGAACTGAAATGATCTGCAAATGTAAGGAACATTGCGGCTTCATTATTTTTGGCGGTAATATGACCCCTAAATCAATAATCATTCTTACCCTTCAAGTCGGTTTACCATTGTTCGATGATGTTTTGTGTCTGATCTAAACAGTGTTTGCCTTTTGGGAATGGCAACATCTTCCGTTTCTTGAGATTATCGGCGAATTGCAAGCCACGCAGTAGTTCTCAGTGGCTCATAGACTTCACAATGATTTGAACCGTTCTTAAATTTCTCAGTTCAACCAGCCAACCTTGAGTTCACGCTCCGTGGCACATCTCATAATTTTCTGTGTTGCATATAAGCCATCGGACTACAATATTGTGCGGAAAGTTGACCTGTAAAACCCATTGGGCAGCATCTGGAATTCACACGAATGATAATTAGCATAGATGAACTTGGCTTCCAAGCACCGTAGCTCAAACGAGCTCAACAGCAATCAGTCGTCGTGCCAAATAGATTTCGCATTTTCCGGTTTCTGAAGAAAGGCTGTTCTGTTGAACAGCAGTAAGAACGAAATCGCCAAAAAATTTTGGTCCACTTGACGGGCACGGTATTGTGCTTATTATCCCAACGGTAAAACTCACAGGACGGCCCATATTCATGAGGGCGGGGTGGTATAAAACAAATTGATGGGGACCAGCGTTTCTCAGCAGCTAGAGCCAGTATCACGTGTCGGATCTTAAGGGGAACATCTTTTAAAGTATATTTTTGCAGTCCATTCACTGTCTACCTGTAAACAGGCAAACCCTTTTCCAGGTAACCCATCAGTTAAATCGCAAAACTGCTGATCGAAAGACCTGCTCCAACGTAACTTCGTGTTTCGATTGCTTCTGTCTAGGCCTGCGTAAGCTGGCGATCATCATCCTCAGTTTCAAAACCGCGTATGTGTTGTACAGTGGTTATAGCTACCGCAATTTCGTTCCCGGACGATCTGGGGGAGGGTAGAGGTCAATAGCTATCCGCTGATGGCGGTAGCCGTAGTACTTCCTTCGAGTTGTACGACAGTTCTGCACGGAGTAAGCGCCGTCGCCGGATTGTTAAGAAACCTGACGTTAAATTCCATCTGATGTCACTAAAAGCTCTTCCGTTCGGTTTTATTACTAATCCGATTCACAGCATTCAATGCATGATGACGTGTTTCCATCTCAAGGTTAAGAAATTTTTCAACCGGCACTGCTAACTTGTTTCCGCAGACACAATCCTTGTTAGTTTTTTGAATGTCTTTGATGTCCTGCTTCTCCATCACCTGATTGCATCCGCTACCGCAACTATTTGTCCTCGCTACCGGTGGTCATAGTTGGTCTCTCCAGCCTCTTCTTATCTCACTGTTTCAGTCTTCACTGCCAGATGCCATCGGAATGGACCGAAAATTGAGCGATGCGCGTGTGAAAGAGCGATGCTTCATCGATAGTCTCCTACATCCAGAACATATCCAGTTCTACAATCTTCCGGTGACCCTAAAAACCAGCCTGCGACCCTATCAACAGGTATGTAATGCTTCGGGGAATATCGATTTCCACTGCTCATATTTTCGCATTTTACTGTCGCTCCTTAACTAGTACCCTTGAAGAGCATGCATCTTTCACCCTGCTGGTGGTAGGAAATTACCGTCAACTTTAGTGACCCCATGTATTTTCCATTTGGACATCAACTGTGCTAACCTGCCCCCCAAACTACACAGTTGGCGTTAAATGTGTAAGCCTGACTATACTCCTAAAGTCCATCTTCGATATGGAAGCGTAACTCTCTCTACTAGTTTATGATACCTTTTCTATCATTTTCCAAAGTACTGAATAAAAATGACGCAGTCTATTAGTCTTTCACTGACTAAGGACTGTGTGCTGTTTGTTAGATTGTTGGGATTTAGTTGAATTTGTGCTCTGGCCTGCGTTGCTGGTGTACCGATTGAACCCTAAGTCTGTTCAAAGAGCAGTGCCGTATTAATCTGATAGAAATTTGGTGCAACCCATGCTGCAAGACCACGACGTATGTTGAACACGTGCGCTTAAATGGCGTCATGATAGGTAAACTTTGATCATAAATGTTTTGCTGTTTAGGTTTTTCTCATTGTACCGCAGGTGAATGAATTTCTACTTAGCTGTTACCAAAGCCGCAATGATGACGAGATACTGCTCACTACTGATGACGGTATACTGCTCGCTTAGTTCGGTAATGTGCTAGTAGCCCACTTTTCCATCTTACAGTCTTACGTTCTGAGCTTGGTAGACCACATTTGTGAATGAATAAGAGTGGGATTTTATAGTCCCTAAGGTTTTCGATATTTGCAGGTCTGACTTTTTACTACTTCCGACTACGCATCTTGTTCTCGTTTGATGCGTGCAGTTCTAAATGGTTTAGATGCTCCGTACTCAAGCGTTCCCTATGTAGCGTAGCAATATCGTATATTTTTCAGGACGGTATCAACTGGCTCAATTTTCTCAACCGTTATGGGCTAAACGGAATTCTCTGTGATGATCTGGGCTTAGGAAAAACGCTTCAGACGATCTGCATTTTGGCTGGAAGTCATTATGAGCTGCATCAGCGACTACGATCCACCTCTGCCGGTCAGTCTGAGTTCAAATCACCTGTTTCCTTGGTAGTCTGTCCTTCGACATTATGTGGACACTGGCTGCATGAAGTAGAACAGTTCATCGACAACGACAGTTTGGTGCCAATAATCTACTCCGGCGGTCCTTCGGCTCGACAAAAGTAAGTTGTTCCTACTGTGAGCACTCATGCCGTACTAGTACTAATGCAGTTGAAATGTAGAGCTCCACTGGTTGTCCGGCCGGACCGGACGGTCTGTATCCAGCCCTCTTCATAGAAGGCGGAAAATCTCTGGTGACCCACCTGACAAACCTTATTGGTGCTATATGAGACAACGAGAAAATGCCTGCAGAATGAGGCATGCCGACGGTTATCCCTATCTTAAAAAAGGGTACGCGGACGCATCAGCCTGTTAGCTGTGGCATCGAAGGTGCTCTCTGGCATTATCTTTCGAAGGTTGACTGAACACAGAGAGAGGCAGATCCGTGAAAACCAAGCTGAGTTCCGTCCTGCAAGAGGTTGTATCGATCATATCTTCACCCTCCGACAGATTCTGGAACAGCGACACTGCTTCCAGCAACCAACAATGGTTGTTTTTCTTCATCTGAAAGCCA